GGTCTGGAGTGGGTGGTGGTCTGAGGACCGTGGAGAATCATGGGTCATTCCAAGGACTGGCAGTGTTTAGGGGTCTGGACTGAATTATGTCTCCCCAAAACATATGTTTGAAGCCCTAACCTTCAATGTAACTGTATTTGGAGAGAGGATCTATAGGAGGTAATTAGGTTAAATGAGGTGATAAGGTGGGGCCCTAACCTCATTGAACTGTGGCCTTTCTAAGAAGAGGAGCCTTATTAAGGGGGATCATTCTGCCATGTGAGGACACAGGGAGATGGTAGCAGTCTGCAAGCTGGAAGAGAGCTCTCATCAGGGACTGAATCCACTGACACCTTGATCTTGGACTTCCAGCCTTCAGAACTGTGAGAAATCAATGTGTGTAGTCTAAGGCTCCCAGTCTCTGTGGTATGCTGTTATGGCAGCCTGAGCAGAACAAGACACGTGTCTTCCTTCCCAAAAGGAGCATGTGAATCTTCACCCCATTCTGATTGATGCCTGGGCTAACCACAAACAGGAGAGTTTAGCAGATGTCATCCCCATGAGTAAGGATTTCCAAGCATGCCTGGTGGTCCGTGAATCCCCCTTCTTTCTCCACACTCCAGCCTCCTTTATTCTGGAGGCAGCTCTCCCTGGGAGGAGTGGTCATGCTTTGCAAGGCTCTTCTTACCTTCCTGCTTGTCATTTGGCCTGCTGGCTGTAGGGATAAGACAAAGTTTCAAATGCTGGGTGGTTGAGGGTGTAAACGATGGCTATCTCCTGCCTCCCTGTTAACTGACATATCCTCTCATCTGTCTCATTTAATAATGGAACCAAAACACAGGCGGGCTCCAAGGAGAGATTTCCCAGCATTCACACCAAGTGCTCTTTTCCCTCATCCTTTGTGTTAATGAAAATAGTAACAATACTAATGTTTACTGACTGCTTCTAGGTTTCACCCTAGAGTGAAGTGTTTTAATGTACTATATCGTTCAGTCCTCGTAAGTATCCTCTGGGGCACAGGTACTGTCTATCTCCATATACCACTGTCATCATGTTTGTGAATCAAGTTTGTATAAGGCTGGGCAGCAGACGTCAGTGTCTGAAGAACAAATTCTTCTCATTCATTTCTTCAGTCATTCAGCAAATATTTACTGAGCACCTCTATGAACCAAGCAGATCTGCCCACTGTTTAGAAAATCAGAGGGTATTATGGCCCCAAGTGGCCCCCTCAAAAGATAACCTTGAGGCAGGACTAGAGTCTTCCGAGAAATCATTCAGATATTTATTCCAAGACAGGGCTCTGATTACCTGGCTGGTGTTCAGGAGAACGTTAGGGGAGTGGTTGGGGCAGCAGGCTCTGGAGTAGACCTGCCTGAGTTTGACTTGGCTTTTCCACTTTCCTGGCTGTGTGGCCTTTAGCAGGGCTGTGCCCTCTCTGAGACTCAGTTTACTCAACTAAAACATGGGTCACAATGATATCTATACAAGAGAGTCATTGTGAAGATTTAAGTAGCACAATAAAAAAAAAAAAAATCCTGTGGACTTAGGAAGTGCTTAAAAAACATTAGCTTTGGGACCCCTGGGTGGCTCATTCGGTGAAGCGTCTGCCTTTGGCTCAGGTCATGATCCCAGGGTTCAGGGATTGAGTTCCGCATTGGGCTCCTTGCTCAGTGGGGAGCCGGCTTCTCCCTCTGCTTGCTGCTCCTCCTACTTGTGCTGTCTCTCTCTCTGACAAATAAATAAAATCTTAAAAAAAATTATAGCTTTTATTAGTGGCTCATGGAGGCCTTAGGAAGAGTGTAGGGGCGCCTGGGTGGCTCAGTTGGTTGAGGAGCCAGCTCTTGTTTTCAGCTCAGATCATGATCTCAGGGTCCTGGGATCAAGGCCTGAGTCGGGCTCTGCACTCAGTGAGGAGTCTGCTTCAGGTTTCTCTCTCCCACTGCCCCTCCTCTCTCACACTCAAATTAAAAAAAAAAAAAAAAAACTTTTTTAAAAAGTGTAATAAGGGGCGCCTGGGTGGCTCAGTCGTTAAGTGTCTGCCTTCAGCTCAGGTCACCAGCCCAGGGTCCTGGGATCTAGCCCCGCATTGGGCTCCCTGCTCGGCGGGAAGCCTGCTTCTCCCTCTCTCACTCCCCCTGCTTGTGTTCCCTCTCGCTGTGTCTCTGTCAAATAAATAAAATCTTTTTAAAAAAAAAAATGTAATAAAACACCCATTATATATCAGTTTTGGGGCATGGCAGCTCTCTGATGACTCTTAGATAATTTAGTCAAATTAGCTTAACTATTTGACTTGTATATTGAGTTTTTGTTTCTCAGTCATTTGGACAGGGAGAAATTGCTACCAAAGATGACAGCTGTTTGAGGGCTTGATTGTACAGCCTCTTTTCCCCATCACATTTATTTATTTATTTATTTTTAAAGATTTTATTTATTTGACAGAGAGAGACACAGTGAGAGAGGGAACACAAGCAGGCGGAATGGGAGAGGGAGAGGCAGGCTTCCCGCGGAGCAGGGAGCCCGATGTGGGGCTCGATCCCAAGACCCTGGGATCATGACCTGAGCCAAAGGCAGCCACTTAACGACTGAGCCACCCAGGCACCCCTCCCCATCACATTTAAATAATAAGAGCACATAGCTGAATTGATGCCTCATATGTGATGATGGAACTGTGTCATCAGTCTGAAGAGATCTTCCCCTCTGTCTTCAGAGAGAAGGATATGTGCGTGCTGCAAACTTCTGTGAGTATGAGGCTGCCATTTTAACTCGAACTGTTTTGTAGACTCCATAAACACTATGAAAACAAGTTACCTTATAAGTATAAATATAAATAGTGATGTGTGTGTATAACTATAAATACTTTTCATTCAGACTGAGAACAATGCTTGGGGCCTTAGTGGACCCATGGACCTCTTACAGGAACTCCACGGCACCAGGTATCCATGACCCACACACTGAGACCCGGATACTCCATCTCAGTGTGGCTCAAGGCATGAAGCTAGAGCCAGTGCTTAGGGAGCATTTGTTATGCACTGGGCATTGTCACTAGCGCTTTACAAACATAATCTCATCTAATCCTGTCCTTCAGCTCTCTGAAGTTGCAGCTATGGCAGTCCCCATTGCACAGGTGAGGAAGGTAAGACGTACCTAGTTAATATGTGGTTACAGCCAACAAACCAGGATTTGAAGCACTGGTTTGGGTCTATGTGAAGGCCCAAATTCATCCCGATTTACATTTGTTAAGGACTGCATGTTTGTGTCTCCCCCAAAATAGAATTAAGACCGAAATCCGAGGGGCACATGGGTGGCTCAGTCGGTTAAGCGTCCGCCTTCAGCTCAGGTCACGATCCCAGGGTCCTGGGATTGAGCCCCGAATTGGGCTCCCTGCTCAGCGGGAACCCTGATTCTTCCTCTGCCCTTCACCCTACCTGTGATCTCTCACTCTCTCTCTCTCTCTCTCAAATAAATAAAGTCTTAAAAAAAAAAAAAGACTGAAATTCTAAACAAACCACAAAATCCTGAGCAAAGCTGAAATTTGTCCTTTAAATCTCTGTTGGTTGTAGTCACTGAAAATTGCCCAGACAGGAGAGGGCCAGGGCTACATCAACCAGGCCTTGGTCACTACATAGACTTGCTAATGAGCAAGTCTCTGAGGAGAAGATGCCCGGTCCCCTCAGCTAACCAGGAGGGAGTTAGAAAGGGAAAGGCGTGGCACAGCTTTGAAAATGCTGGCGTCCCCACACCTCTCCACTGCCTTACACACAACCCAGCACGCTCTGCAATCAGATCATGGTCATGCAGTCCTATAGAACCTGCTGATTTTCCCTCAGATTCTCCACCAGCCTCTTCTGTTTTCCTCCTTTTCCTTCTCCCACTTTATTTGTTCTGTCTTCTTCCTCCCCTGCTACATACTTCCTGTGACTTGTTTGAAGTTCCCCCTTGCACACCTGCTCGGTGCTCACAATAAAAACAATATTGGCTGTAGTGGGAAAAATGAAACATGAGAGAGAATGGAGAGTAGGGTGGGAAGAAAAGCTAGTGGGAAGATGGGGTAAGGTGCTAGGTCTGGGGATGCCAGAGTTGAAGGACTCATGAATCGCTGGGTCCTTATGTCAGTGACGATGTTTATGAAGCACTTATGATATGCTAGTCGGGTAACCCTCACCATGACTCTTTACCTGCTTAAAGGCCAGGCTTAGTCTCTCCCAGGCTGGACAGCAACACCAGGGACTGTCTGTCTAGTTCACCTCCTGTTCAGGTGCCCGCTTGGTACAAAGCAGAGCCCAATAAATATTGATTAAATTAACAAATAAAAGAAATAAGCAATTGGTACCCAAGATGCCCCAAGCAAGTAACTTTCTGTGTCTTCATTAACTAGTCTCTAAAATTAAGGAGGTGGACTAGGACAGATGCCTGGGTTCCAACCTCATCGCACACTTACTGAGTATGTGTGACCTCGGGCAGGTCATTGAACCTCTGTGTGTCTCCTTTCCTCATCTATAAAATATTGCTAAAAGTACCTACCTCCCATGGTTGTTTGAAAGATGAATTGTTAATAATTGGAAAGTACTTAGAACAGAGCCTGGTACGTACAAAGTACCATGTAAGTAGAAATGTAAATTCACAAATCCCTTCCCACAGTGTACTTTTCTCAGGCCAGGGGAGGGCGGATGGAAAGGACGCGGGGAGGATGGCCCATAACCTGCGAAGCCGCGAAACCCTCGCCTGCTCACTGAAGCTGCCAAGACTACCTTACCCACAATGCCTCCCGTGGGCCCGCCCACGCGGTCTCGCTCTCATCCCCCTACAGCTGGTCGGCCAGCCGTTCAAGAACTACGTTGCCCACAATGCTCCCCGTTGACCGGCATATCCCGGCTCATTCCCACACTCGACAGCCAGCTCGGCCAATGGGACGAGGACTATATTACCCACAGTGCTCCGGTGGGCCCGCCCACAGCGGGCTGAGCCCGTGGCTCGCTAGGACCGGTCTGGTGTGTTTGTTCTGAGGGTTTGTCGGTCTCGTCGTGGACAGCTTGCCGGCTGTACCCCCGCGCCTACGGTCCTGCTTCCAGCCCGGCCTGCCGCGCTGCCGGTGAGTGCGGGCTCGGGGTCCCGGCTCGAGCTTCCATCCCGCGGCCCGCGTCAGAGCCCGGGTTCGTGCTCGGTCTGGGCCACCGCTCACCCTCCACCTGAGGACGAGACCGGGGAACGCAGCCCGGCCGGGGACTCCCAACCGTCCCAGCACCCTGGAGTTGGAGAGGCCATGGTGACCATCCAGGCGGGGGTACCCGGCGGGCCTTCGAGGCTTGCCGAGCCCAAAATCGGGGGTCAGGTCGTGACAGAATCCGCGTCCTCCTGGGCAGAGGGGGCCCTGGTTCTCACCGTATTTCCAAAGGGACCCCAGCCCAAACGGGCCTACCGTGATAATGAAAACCGCATTTCTCGAACTCTGACCCCGTTCCAGGCAGTGCGGAAAACCCTTTCCAAAAATCGGTTTAGGGGCGCCGGGGTGGCTCAGTCGTTAAGCGTCTGCCTTCGGCTCGGGTCATGATCCCAGGGTCGTGGGATCTAGCGCCGCATCTCCCTGCTCAGCGGGAAGCCTGCTTCTCCCTCTCCCACTCCCCCTGCTTGTGTTTCTGCTCTCTCTGTGTCTCTGTCAAATAAATAAAATCTTTTTAAAAAAAAATCGGTTTAGCCCTCTCAGCAGCCTGTGTAGGGATATCATTCTCTCTACTTTTTGTTTTGTTTTGCTTTTTTAAGATTTTATTTCTTTGACAGGGAGAGAGAGAGAGCAGGAGCAGGAACACAAGCAGGGGGATTGGGAGGGGAAAAGCAGGCTTCCTGCTGAGCAGAGAGCCAGATGTGGGGCTCCATCCCAAGACCTTGGGATCATGACCTGAGCAAACACAACAACTGAGCCACCCAGGTGCCCTCTCTCTACTTTTTGAATGAGGAACCAAGGCCTCAAGAGTTTGAGTAACTTGCCCGGGAATTAGCATGAGGGTAGCAGCAAGAATGCCTTGATTTACCGCAGTCCTTTTCTTTTGCCAATGAGGGTGAGTTGGCTCTGGGGCAAGAGCAGGGCCTTATGGGTAGATGTTTATCTAGCCCTAACACTGCACCCAAATGATTTATTGTTTCTCCACAGAGCCCTGCAAACATCATTTCCAGTGTCCGGCCAGAAGTATAGGGAGAGACAAGTTTGAGCCCTGAGGCACAAGAAAGCAAGACCTGCCCCAGACAATGGCAGCCACACCTGGTCTCCAGCCTCCACCACCCCTGGAGCAAGACGAGATCCTGATCGTGAAGGTGGAGGAGGATTTCTGCTGGGAAGAGGAGCCCTCCCTGGAGTCGGAAGACCCCAGCCCTGAGACGTTTCGCCAGCTCTTCCGGCTCTTTTGTTACCAGGAGGTGGCCGGGCCCCGGGAGGCCCTGAGCCGCCTCTGGGAGCTCTGCTGCCGCTGGCTGCGGCCTGAACTGCGCACCAAGGAGCAGATCCTGGAGCTGCTGGTGCTGGAGCAGTTCCTGATGGTGCTGCCAGGGGAGATCCAGGCCCGGGTGCGGGAGCAGCAGCCGGAGAGTGGTGAGGAGGCCGTGGTCCTCGTGGAAGGGCTGCAGCGGGAGCCCAGGAAACAGAGGCAGCGGGTGAGGTGGGGGGCAATTTGGCCTTGAGGTGAGGAAACGGGGCCCCCAAGACCTCAGGGCCCTGCTCCTGAGGTCTGCATTTGGAAATCCCTTGGGCTCTGGAGCCATGGCCTGCCTTGGTCATTGTGGGTGGGGGGATTGGGGCTGCCTGCTCCTGTGAATTGAAGAAGACACTGCAAAGTATTTCTCAGCCTGGGCCAATGGGTGTAAACCCGTTGACTGAGCACATGTAGCCCCACTAGCCCTCTCTGAGCTGTGTGGGTTGTTTCGTTAACATCATCCCAGTGGAGGCCAGACACAGGTTTTGATGGGAGGGAGGCTGGAGACCTTCCCAGGCAGGGCCCTGGGCATTGACGAGATCCCAAAATGAGGAGCACTAGGAAGAAAAAGCAGGGGCTGGTGGGTGCTCTGCTTAGAGCCCCCACATGTCCCCAGCCTCTCTAGAGCTGTGTCATCCCATGCAGTGGCTACCAGCCACATATGATTTGTTTTTTAAAGATTTTATTTATTTATTTATTTATTTGACAGAGAGAGACAGCGAGAGAGGGAACACAAGCAGGGGGAGAGGGAGAGGGAGAAGCAGGCCTCCCACCGAGCAGGGAGCCCGATGTGGGGCTCGATCCCAGGACCCTGGGATCATGACCTGAGCCGAAGGCAGCCGCTTAACCGACTGAGCCACTCAGGCGCCTCTCACATCTGATTTTTTTAAATTAAAACTAAATAAAACGTCAGATGTAGTTCCTAAGTCACACCGGCCCCATTTCAAGGGCGCAGTCGTCAGATGTCGCCAGTGGTCACTGTACTGGGTACTAGACAGTGAAGACATAGGACACTTTGTTGTCATGGAAGGTTCTGTGGACAGCACTGCTCTAGGGCACACTCCCAGCTTCTAACAGAATTTGAGGAGTGGGAAGTCTTACAAATTCCTCTTGCTTAGATTAGATTAGTTTTCCAGGTTAAATATTTGGCAGATATGGACAGGTGGCCTTTCTCCCTGTGTTAGTGCCATTGACCACATACTTTTCTTTTTGTCCAGCAGGATAGACACATCCCCCCAAACTTGATCACAGTATGAGTTGATTGCAGTAAGCAAATCCTGCTATCTTGGTGGCCAGTAAGAACTCAGGATCCTGGGCGCCTGGGTGGCTCAGTTGGTTAAGCGACTGCCTTCGGCTCAGGTCATGATCCTGGAGTCCCGGGATCGAGTCCCGCATCGGG